ATTTATTTTAGCATAATAACTCCAGCAATCCATCACCACATTGTGAAGACTTCTACAGAAAATTCACATCAATATATAGAGAAATAAAGTAGTTGAAGACTTTGTTTCAATACAGGTTTTGCATACTCTCACAATGTATTCATAATTTCATATTTCATTATTTATTTGCTCTCTAAACTTGGTTGTAGTAAATAGGCCTGTCACGATAATTAACTTATTGTTCAATATATAGCTGGAGCAATATATTTTGGGGCTCAATAATTATCGTGTGCATAACTTATATTTTATAAGTTGATGCTATTTCATGTAATATGGTAAAACTGAGCTGTAGAGGGATGAAGAAGTAAAAATAAGTATGGCTGTTCTACTCAGTAAACTACTTAGTGTTTGCCTTAAAGCTGCATTGTGTAACTTCTGGTGGAGGGTCCGTCAAATGCTTTTCATCACAGATATGCTATTGCTTTGTTTGGAATGTTTCACAGTATGGTATTAAACCTTTCTATCTTCATGGAGACCAAACCAGACCAAGTTACAGGTCAGATCTGCGCAGAGGCATCCCCACTCACGGTCAGAATATTGTTTTTCTAGGTGTTTTTGAGCTACAATACCACTTGTAATTGAATAAAGGTAAGGTTAAGGCTATTAAATGTCACACTGTGGAACATTCCAGGCAGAGCAATGACATATTCATAGAAATAAGCAAGTGATCGACCCCCGACCAAAAAGTTACACAGTGTATCTTTAACAGCTGAAATAACAACTACATGACTTTACAGACACATAATTGTTTTGTTTTTTTGGTAATATAATTCCTAAAACATTTTGGTTACACATTAAGAAAATAACAGAAATAGATAGATAAATAAAGTAGTTGAAGACTTCAAAAAAAAAAAAATCTGTTTGGCTGTGAGAAACTTTCGTCTTAAAGGTTAGCCAGACGCAATCGAATAAAACAAATAGCACCCCGAAAATGTCAGGCGCACTCATTCACTACTAACAGCTGTTTTCTCCAGGCTGAGGTTACACAATGACACAGAACAAAGAGTGACGTCACGTGTGGATAATTGTGCCCTGTGAGCGTGTGCTGTATTCGCTCAGAGCCTTTGTAGTGTCTCCAGCAGACAGGTTTAGCTGTGGCACACCAGAGACTCTGTGATACCGAGGGTACTGGCTACGCTGTGAGCTCACCACTACTTACAATGAAGATCCAGATGGTGTTTGTTTCTTCAGGGACATTATTCAAAACAGTGAAATAAGAACAGGTACTAATACGCATAACTAATAAAGGAAATAATGATTCAATGCAGGTTTTGCATACACTCAAAGTCTGTTCAGTTTCATGCATTATTTATTTGCTCTCTAAACTTGGTTGAGGTAATTTACTTTTTACTAGCCACAGGAAGCCAGGGGTAGACTACCAGTCAAAAGTTTGAAAGTTTTATTTTGACTACTTTCTACATTTTATATACATACAGAAACCATCAAATATATGAAGTAAGATATATGGGATTATGTAGCAAAAGAAAACAGTTAAATAATTTATACTCAAATCCTCAAAGTAGCCACCCTTTGCTTGTCAAAATATTTAGTAGACTTTTAAAACTCTTCTTTTTACTCTAAAATTCCATATATTTTACTTAAATTATTTGATATCTAAAATGTAGAAAGCAGTAAAAAACAAAATATGAAAGTGTGTTTAGATTTTTGACTGTTTGTGTAAGTGTGCCTGTCAATCTACTAAATCTGTGTCTTTTTTTGGGTAACATAATTCATAAAACAGTTTGATAACACTTTATTTGAGGGTTGACAACTAACTGCTTATTTTCTAACTTGTTATGTTGATGTAAATTATTATTTATTCTGCTAGAAAATACACTGCATTAACCACTTGTAAGTATACAAATAAGCAGCTAATCAGATGTTAAAAAGTGTACCCTAAAATAAAGTGATACTAACATTTAAATGTCAAAGTAATGTGATGAACTAAAATATCACGTTTTATTAATAATGACTGTAAAAACTGAATCCAAATGAAAAGCTCAAAAGTTAAAAACAAATGATTTAAAACTGCACCCAAAATAAAACCTCCAATAGTTTTTGCCCTTGATCTTTCGACCTTTTGGCTGTTGGGTTGGAGTAGTTAATACGAGTCATCTGAAGAAGTGCATCAGAAGTGAGTAATGATAGAGACAGTGTGTTTTGTGAAGATTAGCAGCATTCATTAGCGTGCTAATGAAGTCTCTCTCTCTGAGCAGTGGGTGGCCATGCCCCCTTTTAACTTCAAGCTCAGGAGCTCTGCCATCACTCTCACACACAACAAGTGCACACACATGTTAAGATCTCCAACCACGAACCGGCATACTTAGACTATGTAACGTTTCTGGAGGAAGCCTGCTTGATTCCATGGCATTGATACAGCTTTGCCTAGTTTCCGAGAATGGCATTAACTTGTCTCCATGGCTACAATCAGGCGACAAAGCAATAACATCTCCATGGGGTCAAGCAGGTGATAGATCCCAACAAAAAAGAGTATACAATATGCATTATGTAATGGCTTGTACTGCCTACAAATACAATAAAAGTTTCCAAATACAAAACTTGATATTGGTGTTTTTTAGGATGTATTACTGCATTAGAAAATAATAAAAGTGAAACAAGTAATAGGTCTAGAGAAACACGTGCACACACACAAATACATATTGATGTTGCCAGATGTAAGGCTGAACGGGGTGGGGATAATTACTCGTGTGCCTGTGCCTAGCGCTCTTCTTGTGGGATCTGGAAACAGCAGGTCACAGACTTTCATGGGACGACAAAGAGAAAATTGGGTAATGTCCCTTTAAGATGCCAGCAGCATGTATCACATCAAACAGGGAAAAATACATGTACAAAGGGATTTGATTCTCCTACTAAGAAAATTAAAAACACACCGCTGAGATATGCCCCAATTTTGCTCAACAGTAAACTAAAGTAATTCAAGGCTGTTGTTACAGGGTCAGCAATAACATTCATATGGGGTTTAATAAGGACAGTCTTGGTAAAACAGTGGATATGTGTGTGGACCAAGAAATACAATGTTTGGTAAGTTATTGTTATCTTTTGATTCAGGCCTGTGGAATTAATCAAATTTTAATAGAGATTGAGATTCAGTCTTTTCTAATTGTCAAAGATTAGCTTGGGTTTATTTAATTAAGAGGTCTACAACAAGTCTGTGCCAGAAAAAGGATGTAATTTGGAGCAGTGTTTATTTATTGGATTGGAAGTAATGTGGCAATTATTTTGGGTTAGTTTGCAGTTTTTATGTATACATGTGTTATTTATGTTGAATTAAATTGATACTGAAAGACTGTTTTATTTCGATAAGAAATGGAAGCAAAAATGGATATCAATCACTATGAGGAAAGGAAATTGTAATACATTTTTAGTCATATCACATAGCCCTAATTTCATTCATTCAAAGATATAAAAGTATTGTAACTGGGTTGATCAGTATAGACCTCAGCAAGGCAATGTCTGTGCCGGCATATATTTATCTAAGCATATTTCATTATGGCCTACTTTCTAACTTGTTTCTCAAACACCAGACACCTGCTGCTATTTTTGCATGGTGTATATTTATTACTCTTAGTTCATATAAACTAGTGAGACAATGCCTTACAGTGAACTGCTCTGTTAAACATGCAGGGTGGGGAAAAATAATGGTAATACAATTTGCTTATACCTTATTATGAAGTGAGTCCATTATCAGTCCATTTCCTTTTGCATGAAGCTTTTGTATGAGGTTTAATTACAATCTTCAGAGCCAGAGTTGCACTATGTAACTTTTTGGGGTAAGGCTCCTCTATCTCCATGGAGACAAGCCTCCAGGCCTAGTTGCAGATCCGGTGAGCAATAAAAACATTTGCAAATAAAGTGAAGAAAGGAGATGTATTGTTGATAAATAGTGTGTCTAAGATAACTGAATGCAATAAAGCTGTGCGGGAGAGTGAGGTGTAATGCTTTGAGTAGGTTCTTTTACCGAGTGGGAGTGAAATTCAAAGTCTGACAATCTAAGTGGCACGGCTGTCTTAGCAGACAGGTGGCATACAGAAAAGGTAGTGATTTGTTATAGCTCATAAAAGAAATGGATTTTTAAACATCTGTAGAGAAATAATTTAAGTGTAGAAATGACTGCTTGGCTTATGGAATAATAAGCATTTTATGTGCTGACACAGAATAGGTAAATATCTGTGAGATTAGGAAGTTGGGGTTGCTTCAGCATAATGAGTCATAGACTGTGTGCCATCACAAAAATAGACAAAACACAGTTAGCCAATCTGTGCGGTGTGAGCTGAGTATCCAAATCCTATCTTAAAAAATCAGAAAATAGAAATGATGATAAGCAGCATTATTATTCAGTGGAATAAATATTGAATAATTGTAATTCAAGTTTACCATAGTGAAAGACTTTAACATATTTTAATTTCCGTGTCACCAAATAAATAATAATAAACAATATTACACTGGACTTGCATGCTGCCTTTCAAGACACCAAAAGACACCTTCTATTGTAGCCAGTAGCCACACCTTCCCTGTAGAGTGGTGAAGAAAGACTGACAATCTATGCTAGTGGCCAGGCCCTGGCTCTGATCACAACCAACCACTCATGCACAATAGACATTCTTACTACACAAGGTGGGTCAAGTGTCTTGCCTCTGGACACAACGGCACTATGCACTAGACTAGCACGACTACTGCCCCACTGCGGCAACTGGTATTCCCAGCGGTCACCCATCCAAAGTAATGTTTAGTTTTATGTAATGCCTCTGTAACCAACTGGTGAATGTCCACCTCAAACCATAGTTTTAGGAAACAGTTTCCAGAACATTTTAACATCATGGTTCACAAATAAGCTGAATATAGAAACCACAACATTTCTCTCAACCCACTTTTAGGCCCAAGAGCTTCATTTTGAAATCCTTTGTTATCATATTTGTATACAAGTCTAAAGTCTAACTCACATGTCCTCTCTGGCCCCTCTCCTGACGCCTGACATCCATCCTCGTCATCACAGTCTGTGCTGCCCTCCTCCACCTCTCCACTGGCCAGCTCGTCCCAGGGTTCCACCTGACCCAGATTCGGGAACCTCTCGTAGGTTTCCTGCAAAAAAACATGAAGAGGGAGAGTGGATGTTAGCACATTGTGTGAGACAGTGTACCAACCTCTCGCACCTACTTATTCAGATCCCCAGAGAAAAACAGTGTGGGCTTCATATCGATGTGAAAAGTGCTACTGTAGATAGAGTTTGGTAAGTCATAGTTTGAGCACTATGCACTTCCAGAAGAATAATATAGATGTTTAAACTTTTAAACAACAAGAAATGTCTTACTAGTCAATTATAAAGCCAGTGTGTGTGGTAAACAACATTATGGTCCATGGGTGATGTATTACATTTAATTAGAACCATCCTGAGATAGGGGCATTAGCTTAAACCACAGCAATTTTCTCTATAGTCATTGTTCCCTTGATGTCTCCCTAAAAGGCATTACTTCACTGATCGAGCCTGTTGGTCCCTGAAATCAACTGTTTTAATGGCATCTGCTTAATGTACAGTACTGCGTGAAACTTTCAGGGAGGTGTATAGGCAAAGCTTCTATAAGTGCTTTAATAAATACATTTTTTCATTAAAGGGGAGATCAATAACAGGGTAAGGATAAAATTATTACAGTTGTCCTGGTTTTGATTAAGGTCATACTCATCATTGATTTTAGAGAAATCCTGTATTATATTAGTTGCTCAGCAGAAAAAAAGTGTTTCCCCCCAAGATGTCCATGTACAGTACATTTACATATTTATTCCCATATTAGCCCAGACTATATTGACTTTGCAGAGGTTTAAACTCTCCTAGTATTGATTTGAGAACACATTTTACATTACAATAAAATCTAAAGGGCTATATTTACTGCTGAGACATCACAAAACACTGTATATTACAGATTATGACAGATTTATATTGAAATCATAGTCAATAATATGAAATTGATTATTGTCAAACAGCCATAAACTCATATACTGTAAAATTCTATATGGTTCTATGAAAAAAAAAAAAATCTTAAAAAGTGGGGTCCCAAGGGTGTGTTACATGATATATTTTATAGATGTGCTAACATTATTGTTGTTTCCAATTAATGCATTTGCTGGAATTTTGTACTCATTTGTGTAAGAAGGTCAGTCTAAACCCCTATAAGCCTTTGCATTCTGAACATTCTCTGCCCTCGCTCATAAAAAGCCTGACATTTGAAGATTATGTCCCACATTACTTTAGATTCTCTGTTAATTTTCACTCTTAACCCATGCCAGATCATTCCAGTCCTTTCTATTAGCATGCATACAATTAAGTATAAAAGTAGTGCGCGGAGAGGCTTTCACGTTAGCAGAGGAGGGCGTGGAGAGCCTCAGACCCTGGTCCGTGTGATGTTCCGCCCTGTCAGTATGAGGCCCAGTAATTGGACCACCCGCTGGCCCCTCCTGCTGCAGACCATCATCAAGGTAGTCTTTGTACTACCACATCATGACTGACAAGCAGCTCTCCTGACACAACAACAAATGCTGCTTTGGAGTACGAGGACATGGTCAAAGCATCAATATTACATAGAGAGAGAGAGAAAGAGAGAGAGAGAGAAAGAGAGAGAGAGAGAAAGAGAGAGAGAGAGAGAGAGAGAGAGGCGGCTTTCTTCAAGATGATAAACACCGGACTGCAAATATGCTGCTCATGCTTGCACTTGTTTCAAAGTATTCAACTGATGTAATATTTTATATTGAACCAACAAGCAGGGTTAGTAAATGTACATACTGGATGTTTGAGGACTGAGATTAGATGCATTAGTGACATGCTACCAATTAAGGAAAATGGCGAGAGAGCATTATAATGCATGGTACTAGTGTTGTCACAGTACACAGTATATAATTTTCAACATTAAATCGCAGTACTGTACTTTCTTTTACATTGTCATGCATTTTGTATTGATAAGTATCTACATTTTTGATACTTTTGACAACCCTAATGGCTACATGAGTACAGTTAGTCTTAACTGTAAAAACTACAACAAAACAAACAAACAAGAACTATTAAAAGAGAACGTGAGAATGTCTTGGGTAATGATTTCTTTCCTGTTTACCTGATTGCATAGAGGAAAATGTTGTTCCATTTGTCTGAATATTTCAATAATTAACAACACGTTTGTATTTGTAGATGGCACAACCATGTGAAAGCCACTGAGAAAAACAAGCAGATAAATAGTCTGCACACTGGAGCAGCTCAGACTGTGCCAGGCCGCTGTGTACCAACAGTGAACAGATAACCAGTGTGGTGTTAGGCTAATAGCCACAGCGTTCAGCTGACGTCCAGCACAATGTGATGTGCCGAGCTGACATAAAGCATTTTAATTACAGAAAGAATCAATTAAGGAAACGTTGGTTGTAATGTTCACTGGCCCATGCTCAGAGTAGTTGGTCCACTTCTATTAACCATCTTCTCTCTTCAGACATATATGTGGACATTTTCTGAGACTAGAGTTAATCTTAATTTAAAGCATGTTTCTAACACAGATGTGCCAATTTCCAAATGCAATGGTGCTGAACTGAAGACATCTGTCTGAGTATTAAAATAAGCCTTTTCTCTATTCCCCTACATGTTTGCTTAATTAGACAAGGCAGAGAAATACTCTTTGACATTCAAGAATGGTAGAGGGTTATTTTTGGCAGTCAAAACAAGCTGCCTGCCTTTGTACGTAAGACTTTCCCTGAAATCACTCTGGCATCCAAAGACAAATCAGGTATTTCCAAAGAGCTTTAAATGAGATCCCAATTCATGAAATATTTTCTAGGTCTCCTCTCAGGCTGCCAACTCATCCCCTCCTTTCTTTCCTTTCAAAAGCATTCTTCAGTGAGAGGATGGCAGGGCGGGTTTTGGGCATCAGGGGCTAAATTCCTGCTTGTATTTGCTTGTCACGTTGAAATCTGTTTGGCCTGCAGTAGGTAACATCGTCCTCATTTCTGGGTTGGAATAATATAGCTGTGGAACTGTAAAAGTGGACAGAAGTGGCCATTGTTGACGGTGAAATCCAACACTAAAAATCTACACAGGCAGCTGTGGTCTTCTGCTGCTGTCCGCTTCAATTGTTAAAGATGAGGCCAATAAAAGGCCCTCTAGCCACCGCTGACAGCTAGTTATTTTGCCTGGCTCCTTTGGGAACGGAAATCTATATTTTAGCATAGTCTGAAAGACAACTTTTGACGAGTGGCTATCCATTTGCACGTACTTTAAACCTAAATTAAATTGGCAGAAAATAACACACCATGTTGACAGATTATAAGTGACTAAATGATTATCATTTGAGCTCTGTTGTTAAATCAAATAACACCCAAATGAGTGCTGTTGAAAATAGGTGTGTATCTTGTGAGTGGTGTGTAATGCTTTCTACAGATACAAAGCTCACAAGTCATTGCAATGCAAGCTGTCACAGGCCTGAATAGTGACACAAGTTAACCATGACCTCATGCACTCTGTTTTCAATGTGGTCAGTGAATAAGAGACAATTATTACCTTCAGCAATTAGGTCATGAAACAGTTTGTTTGTTAGAAAAACTAGTATCAGTAGAGAAAAAACAGTAATAATATTAATCAGTAATTTATAGCAGTATTAAGCCATTTTCTGCTCTATGTTATAATGTTGTTTCTCCATCACAGACATACCTGGAGTTGTTTCATTCACACATGTTTAACAGACAAACCCTGAATATTTATGTAGAGTTCTTCTCTCAAACATAAAACCCTCTGTTCAACCTTGTGATGGCATGTGGTAATACAGGGAGTGCTCCACTGTATTTTTAAACTCCATACACCTTCACTAGAAGCATTTGGATCATTTCAGTCCTGGAATTGCCCATTTCTACTGAATTCAAAGTAAAAGGTAGCTGTTAACTTAAAAGCTACCAACTAAGGACATCACAAGGTGGAACATAACATTTTGAGCTTTGGAGATGAAAACAGATAATAATAATAAAGGGTTACTCAAACAAAACAGAAGTCCAGGTATGTTTTTAATGAAGTAAAAACATCATAACATGGCTTAAAAGCTTACAGGAGTCATTTTCACATAATACAGAACTATTAATTTAGAATTTCTATTTATTGCACTAATGTTACTTTTTGGGTCATATTAACTATGAAACAAAGAATGTTTGAAGAACTATTTAACACCAGTGAGGTCTGATCTGTGGAAAATGGAAAAAATACTTTTATGTTTTTTTTTGTTTTTTTTTAATTGACCATTAGTAGTATAACTCAGCAACAGTATATTTTCTGTTTCAATGCTGAATAGCTGAAAACTTAATGATATGACATTAAGTTTTCAGCAATGCATTTTCTATGAGTCAATACAAACAAACTGCCACAACCTCCTCCTTTCTTTAAATGTGTGAGTGAGTAAACCGGGACTACTACAACAACTACAGGGAAGACACTGGTGAAAAATGCATGACAGATACATGTGACATCAGCAGTTCCCAGTGAGCATGTTGGAACAGCATCCAAGTAAGGAAACTTAGCACCATTACCACTGATATAGTAGGAATATATGTAAAAATTCAAACATGGGTAAAAGTACATCTTGTTTCACTTTAGGTTTTTACAAAATGTCTATGTTAATCCTCAACATTTATGTAATCATTTTACTCAGAAAGGCACACAACTGCTCTAATGCCGTGGAGAGTGTGCGAGTTCACATGAACCTGTAATCCCTGACAGAGAAAACCTCAACACTGCAGCGTACTTACAGGTCCAGATTTAGCTATTGCTCTTCAAACACTATGTAGATGTAGAGTCAGTCAAAACTGGTCTTGTCCCACATCTGGATAAACAAATGGGTGATCCAGCGCAAAAGTTCATCAACAGGTAAATCACACAAATATTTAAGACAGATTTGCACAGTAGTGGTGTCACAATACTACAATTTCAAACTAGACTAGGTTGATAAAAATAAATCTATACCCATAATATGGATGTCATAAGAATATTAAAGATCCCATAATACACACAGTTGACTCTTGGAAGCTTTAAGCCAAGTTAGAATACAATTACCTCCTCAAAAACATACCTGGAGTAAGATAACAGCTACCTTTTATCTTTAGTTTAGTACAGACTGGCAATTCCATGGCTGAAATCAGTCAAATGATTCTAATGATGGTGCATAGAGTTAAAATAAAAAACAGTGGCGCACTTGCTCTTTTACTCAGCCTGCAGGGTTTGAGTGTTAAACGTGAGAATGAACCAAAACAAAACTCCAGGTATATATGTAATGAGGAAACATTTTAACAGATCAGATAACAGCGTAGTATGGGCACTTTAATGTTGTGTTGTGAGAAGAAATTGACTATTTACAATTGTTAACAGCCTAATTTATCATATACAACTATTAACATTTAAGCCTACTTTAATTTTCAACACAAAATAATGGTAGTATTTTTCCATGAGCTGTACTACTGTTACCGTTTATCGTCACCATCTTAACTTAGTATCTATTTTCGTTTCAGTAGTGATTCATTAGTCTGTCTGTTGAATATTGGCAAACACTAACATTGTCATGGGAAGAAATGGTTGATGGTAAGTCGTAGCTATCGACTTTGTTTTCTGTTTTGGTGAAGTTGGTTACCAGGCTCACACCAAACCCCTAGTGGTGAAAGCTGTTGGTGTGATGTTGCCACGGCAGCAGCAGCAGCAGCAGCAGCAGCAGCAGCAGTACAGCCCAGTCTAAGACCATAGTCCTCTTCAAGTGGAAAGAATCTGTCCCCTCCCTGAAAGACACTGCCAGTGCTTTCTTATCCCCAGGTCCCCACTAACTTTTTAACGCCATGAGCCCATTACTTGTGCAACAGGCATTGCTAAAATATAAAGGACCTCTGTAGACTGGAGTTCTATGAAAGATGAAGGCATTAAGGTTCACTCCGGGAGAATTTTCTATCTCCAATACATGATCACAAACAACTCTCCTCAGTCCATGCACCATCATACTCAATGAAGAACCAAATTCATATGGACTTGAAATGGGAATGTAATTCAAACCGCACCAACCGAAGAATGTCTGAGAAGAACATCCAAGATTTCTTATGGCAAATCTGAGAAAAATGAAAGTTAGAGACTTGAGCAAAGTATGAGAAATATTACAGTCTAAAGTTAAAATCCATGAGTTCATAGGTCTCAAATTCAGGCAATTGTGAGAGGCAAAAGCAAGGACATAATTAAATGTTATTCATTGAGCACGCAAGGTCTCCGTTAAGAGATTTTTTAGTTCTTTGTCCTTCATCAACTTGACCCAAATGTCATCACATTACAAAAATCTGTCTTCACTCGAACAGACTGTATATTTTTGTGCCATTTCTCACTTGAATTGAATTTATCCAAGACCAAAACCTTAATCCACAATCCAAAGAAAAAATACTTATTTCCAATTTGTAAATGAATACAGAATATTATGAAAGAAAAAAAGCAGTGGAGGTTTTAATTCCAGACTGTATTTTCCACCTTCTACCCTTTTTAATTATTGCTCATTGCTGTATGCCACATGAGCTCACTCAAGGAATCTTTAATTATTTGAGTGAATTCTTTTTCATTGGAGAATATAACAATAGGGCAATTGCAGTTGAATTAGAGAATGACTACCATCCCAAAACAGTGTATAATGAGTCTACATTCATAACGTTCTTGCTGAAATTGTTTTGACTGAACCATATAATTCCTTGACTAGACAACTTTTTTGTTTTCCAGAATTATGTGGAATTTACTCAAGGTCCAGTCCAAATCAAAGGGAAGTGGCCAGTCCCATCAATCACACAACTGTGCTGGATTCCACTGTTGGACTTGTTCCAGCAACTCTCCTCTCTCTTTTCAGCTCAGATCTTTCACATGACACTGTTTGAGCAGAGCTTGAAAAATATTTTTCCTTGTGCTGTTTTACCACTGATTAGATTAAACATATAAATTGACAAAATGACAAATGATCCAGTCTTTGCTCCCTTTAACAGATGGACCATTGTGAGAAAAGTCCCCACCCCAAAACAGCTGGACTCATAGTTGCACGTCACAGAATAGTCTTTAAAAATATTTATTGTGCGTATAAGCAGTAGTTGCAGGCAGTGAGTAGGAAGAGTAACAAGATGATGCACAGGAGACAACTGCAACTTGGCTTACTGGCATTAGGCTTGTCCGGTGCAGCATAAATCAATACGGCCGAGGTGTTGACATGCAATTTGCTGAGCCCGTATAAGTATGAGTACGTCAAACATTTGCTCTTGTGTATGCTAACACTGGTTTAACATTCAGTGTTCAAAAACACAGTGCCCCGTGAGGAAGAGGGGTCAGTGTGGGTGTGTATGTAATGTGCCAATCCTCTTACGCCGCGGTTACCAACTACTTTCCTCTATTAAAAATACACCGGCCCGACTGTTGCTAATCCAGGAAGTAGAGCGTATTCAACTTTCATAAGCTCTAGGTTATGAAATGAAAATATACATGGCACTCTGCACCAGGCTGTGGATGGATACAAGGAAAACAAGTATTTCAGATTAAAAACTTGTTATTGTGAAAGCAATAAAAAAAAAAAAATTAAGCCTATTTCTGTTTATCAAAGCCAGATCAAATTTTTTGAACGTTCTAATTTAATTTCTTCTTCCAATACAGCATACCATTTCTTTATCCAGTACATAAGATTTACTGGAATTTGAGCTCGTGATCCGTGTCTTTTATCCGAACCAAACACAAAACTCATTGCTGCTGCATCCCCAGCATTTGAGTTTCTGAACCCTTTAAATGTCAACAGGACGTCCCAGTGCAGCTTAGCCTGTTGCCATGACAACAGACCACTTGACAGCCTCTGTACAATGATCCAGTGCAGTCTGCCGAAAATGATGAGGGGCTGTCAACCGCAGAGAAATCAGCCAGGCTCTGAAATTATTACTGTTTTACGTCTCCAGGATTCCCCAGGACACAGAAGACTTTTTCATTAAAAAGTGTTTTATTTTAGTTAGAAATGGTTTGAACAGTGTGTGCATAAATGAGACACTTTGTACATGTCTTACATTTATTTCAGCCACCCAAATGCCATTATATTTAATATTTGAAAGCATAGGGTCATTATTTCCAAGTAAATTAGCAGAGTTTATTGTTGTTCCCACAAATGATAAATAGCCAGACCACACAAACATGGCATTAGCACTTGGGACCCTCATTCCTATTCATGTTCACTTAAGACAAATGTGGGAATTCAGACTGCAGGGGGCAATTTGGGTCCTGTGCACTGAATACAAATGTACTGTACAAAGTCAAATTAAAATGGCCCTTTTTACAAAATGGAGAAGAAAATTACAAAAATAGAAAGATCAAAAGACACGCAATACATTTAGATGAGTAGAAAGGCCAGTGTGGGGAACCCTGCTCCATAGTGAGTGTGTGTGTGTGTGTTCATATGGCCTTAGGGATCTGTGTGAACCAGCTCTTTTCTTCAGGACCCTTTCAGCCCTGTGCCCTATCTACATGACAAACAGGGAGACTTTGAAGCTGCCCCCGTCATCTCTGCCCATGTGTCACTCACTGCTGAACTTTTGCCCCCTTCCTCTCATCTTTCTCTTCACAACATAATTCAGTTTTTGGTCACTGGAACAGTGTCCTTTACATGAGAGATTTTCATAGCTTTAATTTAAGTTTTGGAGCACAAACTGACAATTCCATTTGGTCAAATTTTTCTTGTAAAAGAGTAAATTTCATTTCCTCAATAAGCTTGCTGTCTGAAAAGGTATGTATGAGAAAACTGGATTGTCTTGAGACATGAATGATTTTCAATACTTTTTACCAGGTTAGTGCATGAGTTCAGAAAATCATGTATGTGAATATTAGCAATGTGCAACAAGTTAGAGTCGTGGAAAACAGTTAAAATAACTCATTTAAAAATCTGTTACCCCAGCTTTGACAATGTAATAGGATATATGTGACTGAATGACATACCTGACAGAAGCGTTCCAGCCTGTCCTTGACCTCCATTAGATCAGGATCTGGAGAGCGAACTTTGACCTCTGGGTTTTGCCTCTGGGCGGGCAGACCGTTCCCAACTACTCTGCTTGTATAGCTGTGAAAAAAGCATGAACATACATGTTAGAAACCAAGTCATTCTGAGCCTCCTTTACTAAATGTAATGTAGTAATTACAAGATGATTTTAATCTTGCATGAGGGGTTTAACAGCCTCGAGGGGAATAGTTGGCATCGAATCAACTGATGCTTTCACACACTGCACGAGGCTGATAAAGTGATTAAACATCTCGTGGGCCAGTGTCTTTGTATGTCTTCTCTTATGGGACGCTCCGTGTGTTGGTATGTGGTTGTGCATGCACTCACTTGTATATATTCAAGTCAATATCTGAAGAAGCAATCATAAAAGTGCTGAAGTGAAGATTCTTTGGCCTGTGATCTAAGCAACGTTTTGATAAGGTCTGTGCTCCCTCATCTCGCTGAAACAGCATTTTAGAGCCAGTCCATAAAAATGCTAACATCTCCTCACATAAGCCTCTGCTGATACACATTACTTTACATGCCACTCTTGTTTATACCTTCTTCCTATTTCAATTGGTCATATTGACACTGGGGATTACCCTCCCACATCACACAAGCGTAGTACTTTTCAGAATGTACAAACAATTATGACAGAAGAAAGCCTTATACATTTCTTAATTAAAGTAAATTAAAGTAAAAATGGTCTTTACATTATGTCAGAGACAACATAAACATACATAATAGTAATTCTTTTTTAAAAGTAAAAGGAACAAGCCATCTCCAAGCATGTTGTGAATTGCAATGGATTGAGACAGCTCCATTTATCCAGGCTTGGGGTGGACAAGTCAAGTAGGTTATAGCCTTGATTAAACGTACTAGTAGTGATTGTAGTAGTAGCCATAGCAGCACTTGTACACAGTAGAAGTAGCAGCACAATCCACTTTGAGAAGAAATCAAGCTATTAATTACCAGCAGCTCTAAAGTTTTCCCTTGTTGAGATAGAACAATCAATAGAGCTTGGACACTGACCTCCCTTCTGGACACGAATGATTAATTGAAGAATTAAAGAGCGGTGTGAAGTGAGGGCTCTGTGTGTGTGCGTGTGTGTGTGTGTGTCTGGAGGCTTGGCCCACGATGACAGCGCTGGCCCGGACGTGAGCTCATCAGATGGGACGCTTACAAAAGGGTGCATTTGGCAGCAGGTCTGGCCTTTGGCTGCTTTTCACTGTGGGGTTAGCTTGATTTTACATGGAGCTCTATGAGGCCTGTCACAACAAGACATCACAGGGAATTTGACCTCATGGACGTGCTGTGAAGTAAAGTGGAAGAGGACGTGTGTGATAAAGCAGAAGAAGTAGTCATATTTTTATTTTACTGTGAATATTTTTATAATTGAAACAATTAATACTGTAAATAGTACTGAAATAACATACTTTCAACAAGTATCACTAATAAGATCAAAAAAATAGTAAATACTTGACCTTAAATTATCTTATATAGATAAACAGATGGATGCTGATCCTGAAGGAATTAATATCTTTTGCCACAGTTGAAAGACAACAAAGCAATAATAAGGAAAACCCAATTAGATTTTGGTGATTATAATATACTTTTTAAAAAACAGTTTTTATTGTCATGGTGGAAATCTGTATCAAGCATTTTCTTAATATTGAAATTGAGTTTGAAATAGCATCATATTATGCATACAACAATTAATCTGTATGAGGAACTATGATCCAAAACACTGTGCAGTAAGTGGCAGAAGATTAGGTATTGTGAAAGTAAAAGTAACTTGAAAACTGACATTTCACACTAAGTTTAAGTTTGAATACATCTGAACATACCTTACATTTAAATACATTCCGTGTTTATGTGCTCATGTGTATTTATTTTACATTAGTAGAAACCTTAAGAAATCTTTATGTAGATGATCTGTGCAGAAAACCTAACACTGCAGTTGTTTCTCTCAATCTGGATCATTTAAATTGAATGCTTGTGACTTCTTGACTTCTATGGGAATGATTCACTGGGCTCTGAATACACAATTGATGCTTATACCCAAAGGCAGCTGTTCATGTCTCTCCTCTTGTGCCTGTAGCGTAAGCAAGAAGTGCCCTGCACTGCCTAACACTGACCCCTCTCTCTACAGCCCTGATCTATGTACAGGCCTGCAGCTAGGCTCTCAGCTAAAATGCATTCTGTGTAAAAACTGTGAATAATAACTTTGCTTCAGTATGTAAACATTAAACACAATGTACCAAGTGAGGTTAGCCCCGGAGTGAGTGGGCGTCTGGAGAACTGGCCTCAGGTAAAGCAGATTGGTGTTGTCTTGCCTTATTACCATAGTCATGCTTAAAGGCTTAATTAGTGTATCAGTATAGTACGCGACTTAGTGTTTAGTGTTAATTAAAAAAACAGCATCACTTTATACCTCAATTACTCTTAATGAAGCATGACTAAAGATGTAAAACAATGAACAAATGGTTTATTAAGAATGATTCAGGCTTAATAACTACTCAATTAAAGGGTTAGGGTTAAGAGTTAGGTTCATGGCATTAATTAAATAGTTACTAAGTCTGAATCATTCTCAAAAACCTATATGTTCAATGTGAATTAAGTCTTTGTTCATACTTTATTAAGGTTATTTAAAGTTTAGTGATGACAGCATTTAAATTCTAATGCCCATCTGATTTCTCCTTGATCAGGATTCTTGTTGGAAAAATGTAGTTATTTAAATGCAGATGTAGTTAAATGAATTGCAACTGCTAGACCATGGAATAAGATAAGGTGATGAGCATACATTTTGAAAGTTATATTTAAGTATATTGTTCCATACTAGGTTTAATTTAAAGTTGTTGTTTGGATATATAACAACCAAGAGGAGGAATGTGACAAGTAGTGAAAGCAAAGGACAGAATGATATGTTTGTGCCCAGTAACTTTACGAGTGGGACAAGTTGAAATGCAGCATATGGGAGGTTTTGTTTGGAAAGGCCAGTCTGTTCTCACACAGAGCTCAGCGAACCACTGTACGAGCACTGAGCACATGAAGTGACAGGCACCTGGTCAAAAGGCCTAAGCAAACATTGAATCAACATGAGATATGTCCCGACCAGTAAACAGAAGCATGTGCAAACTCCTACAGGCTGCATAAGCATGTGGCCTGCACCGCCTCAGAGCAGATGACAAGAACTCAGGCATCACAAATATCCACACACCATAGATAAATACTCTTTACTGCTATATAACGTGTGATTGCTTACATTGGATAGCGGTTTAAATGCTCTGAAGGACTTTGCTGTAACGTGATGTGCATCAAAGACAACTTTATTACACTGGATATGGTTCAATCATACAATAAAATGTTTCAGAACATCCCCGAGCAAACAAGTGGAGGTCATTTGCAGGCCAAACTTGCTCTTCTTTCCATGTTCCATCCCTGCCTCTCTCATCCAGCTCAAACTGCAATGATTATTTTAAACCATGTGTCTGGTCCTCAGGTTTATGTCCAAATGTGTGCAAACAACATACATGCCCCAGAACCAGAGCCACCACAATGAGGCTGCAAAAGGTGCCAGAAGACTGGACTTTGACAGTTCACAGTAAAGTTGTTATGAAAAGCAATGCTTTCAAAACATAACATTGCAATTTGTATTATAAAAGTATACAATTGGTTAAAAAATCAACCCCAGAGCCATTCTTGCCTAGGGTCTTGATAGTGTCTGGAGAAAGGTCTGTCCAGAACACACTGTTAGAATTTGATAAGTACCTGGAACAGTGAGTTTAGGATTCCTCTTGTGCTAAGAGTGTTTTGTTTTTATGTGTTTGACCTGAACTCTTTGAGGAGCCACTGCTGCTCAGGGATGTGGACATAAAACAGCTCCATGACTTGGCCTGTCCCTGTGAGACTCCAGCCTAATGCCTGTTCAGAACCACCAAGACATCAGGGCTAACGAGGCTCCTTTTGAGAAAAGTTATACCAACTTTACCTCTAAAAATCAAATTGACCACATGTGGGAGTCCTTTTGAGCTGTGCTTTATTCTCTTTCAGCATAGGATTTTCCTACACTGTCTTCATTACTTCTGTTCTTTTGTCCTGCTGGCTCCTGGCTCACTAGGCCCTGCACACTTGGCACCCCAGTTGAGAAGTCTAGAATTGAGATGAGTCAAAGATGTCAAAATACCAACCACTGTTTTAGCTTTCAGGAAGTTGCTTGAAAGTTCAAAAACATCAAAAATAAATACAGCATCAAAGAAAACAAAACCATAACTGATGTAACTATAGCACCATTGTACATGAGGCTTTACAGTAGTGTCTATGTATTGCATGTTGTCCAATAAGCATAGACTTGTTATGCTGTCCACTTCACCTGGAGCAGGACACCTGTGCACAGCTGGTGGTGCCCCTATGCCATTGTAGACCAATGAATTATGGCTGTTTATGGCTTTGTGGTCAAGCTGGAATTACACCCCAATAAGTGGCTTCCAATGGCATCACCACTTCTTAAACGGTCCCATGGTGATTCTACCAACACACGCCACTTTATTACATGGTTACTGTAATGACTATATGGTTGAAGGCCTGGCTGCTCAAGTTACTAATAGCTATTACGGCATGAAAATCTATACTCTGAAGTGCAGTAAAACATGTTACAACAGCACTGAATAGGTACACTCAAAATGTCTATTTGTTTTCTTTACTGATTTAAAGCTATTCCTCATGCATATTTCAACTTTGGTTAAGAATACAATCTATAGTATCTGTCCTGTGGTCTGCTAATGTTTCCAATTTACTAGACACATTTTGAAATGAATTATTATTATTATTATTATTATTATTATTATTATTATCTCCAACTATTAGATGCAGAGCATGTGATTCATTTAGCAGACATGTAATTACACATGGTGATTATGTGACAATTTGTCAGAGCTCTTCTACCTTTTTCTGTGTGTTTGGTCTGCAGGCCAAGCACTGTCAATAATATCCCGTTTGGCTCATCAGTAGCCCATTACAGGCTCCACAGCGCAGGCATGTTTCATCTCAGGGCTACTTCAGGCTAATGAGCAACTATTGAT